CAACACACAATATCGTATGATATAATTGTGTAAAGCTAAAAGAAAAACAATGTCAACAATGAACAATAGCTCCCAGCTCGCTGTCTGTTAGATTGACGATAGATTGCCACAGGTCCAACAAGCTGTAGGAGCTGTAGGAGCTGTACGAGCGAGCAGTTGCCATAGAGATTGACTGCAATTAGTGAGGTAGCAAAAAGTTAAGCTCCAGTGCTTGCCACAGAAGCAATGCGAGAGGTTCGCACGAGAGGGAAACTCGACTTGTGTAAGACGATTGGGAGAACAAGAGGCACCCAAAGAAAATGCGAGTTTCAAGAAAGTCTATATAAATAGAATTTATACAATTATTATATATCTATATACGCTTTTATGTGGTAAATAGAATTTTATATTATATATATTTCTTCTTGTATTATAAATTTCAACTGTGAATATAGCCTATAGGCCATTAAATATCAGTTTAGAAATATATCCAAATGCAAGTTGTGTAATGATATAACTATTTTAACGATGTTAACTATCAAAGCAGTCTCTGTATTTATCCAATTGGAATATGTTGCAATGTAAATCAGCAACTAGTATATATCTTTATCTAGTTGGCATTCATAGTATACATAAGAATTTATATTTCTTATTTGGATTACAGAAATCAACTACTACTCGTAATATATCTTTTGTGCTCCAATTGCAAATCTCTAACGAGTCCACATCTAACTCTAATTGACATTCATATTTTACATAAGAATTTATATTTCTTTTCTTTCATTACATTCCAACTATTCAACGCTCCCAGGATTTCATCAGACTTCATTTGACGTTGGTCTATTGTTTTCTGTGTTTCTGATTGCATTCGAGTTTCGAGATACCAACTTAAAAGAATTTTCGCGTAGGCAACGGCAACGGCAAAAACAGCAAAACAATTCACAGAATTCACAATTCAAAAAGTGTTTTTGATACACAACAAAGACAACAACAACAACAACAGCAACAGCAACAGCAACAGCAACAGTAACAGCCATGAAATAAACTAGTATGAGTGTTCTAAAAGGGAGTGTCCGACTAATATATACCCTGAACTTTGACACATAATTTAAGGACTCTAATATAGAGTCTAGGGTGAAACGAGGCTGACTCGAGTCAGTTACTCAGCCAGATTCAGTATATGTATATACTCTCTATATACCTCATCTCTATACTCCTCAATATACCCGAAATGCGCTCTTTCGATGGGTATAGCAAGTTACCTTCGCTGTTGTCGACTGTTCTTGTTCGACAAATTATGCCAATTTAATGGTGGGAAAACGAGTTGGCAAGTCTGTGCAAGTGGGTTCTACTTTGCGGTTTTGGCCACGAGCGGCAATGCGAGGAGTTTGTGTGTCGGGGCCTACAGCCAGTCATGGATGAGGCCAACTTGCCAACTTGCCAATTGAAGTCATTAATCTCGCATGGCTGGCAGCTGCCAACGCAGTATCATGAATATGACCGCAAATCACGAACGAATCAAAGGATGCGACGCTGCTGCCTAATTGAAATAGTCGATGCAATAGAAGGCGTACAACAGATGCCACATGCTGGATAACGTGCAGTAGTCCGACTTATAAAACTGGAATTCATTAGCACAGACACTGTCAACTATTAACTGTTAACTGTCAACTGTTACTGTTAACTGTTTATAAATGCATGAAATGAAATTTAACACATTTAAATTTTTTTATTTGATTTTTTTTTTTCTTAAATATGCAACAATTTTGTTCATTAATAATTTCACAAGAAACAAATAAATAAACAGACATCTCTCTAGACAAGCATCATCTCCCTATTACCTAAACAGTAGTAAACACCGAGGCCCTTGCCGTCGCCGACAACGCTGATCTTGTTGCTCAGCTTGTTGAAGGCCACGTCCCATAGATTCTTGTTGTGGTTGCACTGAAAGCAGAGCGCGCTCTTTGTCGTCCGTACGTCCCACACCTTGATGGAGCCATCGAAGGCGCCGCTCACGAAACGCAAACCATCCTGCGAGACATCCACCGACATCACAATCGCATCGTGTGCCGGCAGAGTCTCGCGCAGTCTGCCGCTGGGCAAATCAATTAACTTGATCGTCTTATCATCGCAGGCAGCCAAGGCATATCGCATGAGCTGATCGTAGACTAATCGGCGCAGTGGCTTCGTATAGTTGCGGCGACGCAGCACTTTCCCCGTGCAGCCATCGATGAGCGTGAAATTGCCCTCGTAGTCGGTGGCGCCCACCAAGCGCTGATCCCCACTGATGGCCAGGCCCAGTATATTCTCACAGCGATCCGTGTCATAGCTGTACTGCAGTTTACCCAACGTGGTGTCGTACTTAAAAATATGTCCGCTTCCCGAGCCCGCATAGACACAGTCGGGATTGCGACTGAAAGCCGTTGACCAGATATTACTAACGTGACAGTGCGTGACCCGGGGCAAGCGTATGCCGCCCAGAACATTCACCAGCATCAAATTGCCGTCCATTGAGACGGCCGAGATGCAATTATTGTCCGAACTCAACGCAACATTGTGTATCCCCATTCCGGGCAACTGATGGCTGCACTCATGCGGAAAGGCATTCCCCTCGGTGGGCGAAATGTGAACAATCTTGAGTTGTGGCTTATTGCCGCCCGTAATGATAAACTCCTTGGGCTTGCCGTTGCCTTGTGCTAGTCCCTCAACATCCTTTGCACTACAATTGTCATTAGGCTGGCGCTTGAGCAGGCCCCAAGCACAGCACCACACTCTGTTCTCTGGCTGCTTATCGTTGTTTTTTGTTTGTTCCATGTGGGTTTGAATTTCGTTTCACTTACTGTCTACTTTCTGGTTGTGCTGTTGTTTTCTAATTGTTGACTGGTTTGTTTGCCTTATCACTACTTAATAACGCCTGCCTAGATATTGAGAATAAATATGAAATAACACTAAGATCAAGCGAGATGATGATGCTAGCAGAAGCCTTTGACTACGTCTCCTTTCTAGACATGAAGAGAATGCTAATAAAGCCTTGTCTTGGCTAGACATATTGAAATCAAAAAACTTAATAATGAAACAGGCTTATTGATTTCATTTCCTGCCCTTCGATAAGGCATTCAATTTGCAAATTCCTGTAGCAAGGCACACCCTCAAGTCATTTTTCAGACTTATAGAACTCAATCAAAGATCTATATTAATGAATTCTCATTTCGACTTGCCTCTCTGTCTTATCTTAGCTAATCTTTATGCTTGCAAGCTTGCTTACCTGTCTTAGTTTCCTTGTCCTAAGTTTGTTGGCTGTAGTTTTTAGCTTTGGAATTGACTTTTGTTTTTTGTTTTTTTTTTTTTTTTTTGGCCAGCTAAGCGCTAACTACCGTCGAAAGTTTTGGCATTGCAATTGTGTTTGGCTGTGTTAATTCCAGGTGTTGATAGTTGTTGTTGCTACTGCTGTCGTTGGTGCTGCCCACCTACTCCTCTCAACGGATGGCACTCAAGCGTGGAGAGCGTCGTTTTCGTTGTGGTTGTTGTTGTTGTTGTTCTTTCGTATTTTTGCTGTTTGCTAATCAAGCAATCGCCGTGCCAAGCATTTTGTTTGTAGTAAATGCAAATTTCTGCAAAAAAAAAAAAATCAGAAAAAAAAGATACAAAATTAAATTTTTGCTTGCAGTTGAAGAAAACTTAGCTCGCGGTTCATTGAACCTCGCCTAGCTGAAAACGAACTCTCAACAGAATTGCCACATTATTTCTGTGCGCCTATCGAAGCAACACCAAAAAAGGCAGTCAAAATGAGTTGGTTTTTTTTTTTTTTTTTTTTTTTTTTTTTTTTTTTTTGGCTCATTTGTCTTGACTTGGCTCTTAAAGTATTCCAAACGGAAGCCATTAGTTCCATTTGTTCAAGTCGCGTTGCTTTGGCTCTATGAAGCAACGCGATCAGAGGTTGAATGCCCAAGGCGGCGCCCACAGAGACCCACAGAGACCCACAGCGGCGAGAGAGAAAGTGCTGCAAATTTTTATACAAAACGCGTTGACGCCTCAACTGAAAGCCTTCCAATAAGAAAAATAATAGCAACAAATAAGTAAAGAGAAACAAAAATAATAGCAACAAATGGCCACAAATTCCAATAGCCTTCAGAAATGAAAACAAAAGTCAATACACTAACATTGAGGAAGTCGCATGAATTTCGGCTTAACTATAAGCATTATTTTAGTGATATATATATATGATGTATAGTAACTGTGCTCTGATTAGAGTTGGTAGTGTTAGCGTTACCGAGCTCCAAAACCTGTCTTGGCATCATCTTCCGTTTTTAGTTTCGTCTTGCTATCTACAGGCAGCACCATAAAAGGTCAGGAACAAGCTGTTCGCTTGGGTCAACTGGCGATGCCATAAAAAGACAACGTGACCATGTGGCCAACAACTAGAACAGAACTAAAGAGCCAAGTAGCGACAGAAGAGCCACACACACAGCACACCTGAACATGAAATGCTCAATGTAATTTACAAGATTTATCAGTCGGAAGGCCCTATCGTATCGTCGCAAGTGGAGTCAACCACGAATTACATACTTTTTTATGGCCATTATAAAAACAGCAAGAAACTTCAACATGTTTGCCTAGTGCAAAGCAAAGCGAAGACAACAGAAAAACAAAATACATCAAAAGTAGACATTTCCAAATCCCACACTCAATGAATTCGCCAGCGGCCTTCATGTGAAACTCTTCAGCGAATTGCCCAGAGTTAGTTTAATATCATCGAATCATCAGCATCAGCATCAGCAGCAACAGCAACAGCATTTCGATTGTAACCCATAATACAAAGCAATCAACACATTATGTTGCGTCGCAATGTCATTTAGCGTATCTGTGTTGCAATCAAACACCAAAGCGGGTCAAGAGAGTGGCGGAGAAAGGCGTTCTCTTTCCTTTATAGACAATGATTGGACATTTGCTTAAAAGGCAATTATTATGTTGTTGATTCTGAGTGATTAGCAGCTTAATTACCATTTATTAGAATTGATTATGATTTTATATACTATGATTATATATCTAGAATTCAGTCTACAGTCTAATGAACTTGATCTACTTTTGCAGAACATATTTCATTAACTCGTATCGTTCATCATCTAACTCTCTCTCTCTCTCTCTCTCTTCGTCTCTCTCTCTCTTTCTGGCTATCATATTTCGTTTGTCTCCTACCACATGCTGCACACCTGAACGAGCTCACGATATTTCACATTAATTACACCGTTTAGACCGCGCTGCATACATATATCTATTTGAGGTTTTATCATAACATAAATTGGCTGCGCGCTGTACCATGTAAACGTTTTACTAAATGTGGGCGTGGCAGCATTTTCATTTAAATTAACTGTGAATAGTTAAATAATGAACTACAAATTGTTTTGTAAATTAAGCAAAGTAATACAATTAATAAGGGAAATAAAATTATAGAAGAGCTGAAAATTAAATGAAATTTCTAATTGATTTAGAATTTCTAAATAGATATATTTTTAATATTTTTTTTTTTTTTTTTTTTTTTAAAGTTCCTTAGTTTTTAATGGAAAAGAACTAATTTTTTTTTTTTTAATTATAAATTTCTATATAATATAATTTGTTTTTACTTTTTTTTTTTTTTCCTAATTGCAAGCCTCTCGGCTAAGACTAAATGGAATGCGAGTAAAATTAAAAATTTGCTTAGTTAAGTATTACTGCACGACTTCTCTACTTAAATGCCGACTTAGACCTAGTTGACTTGCGGCTTCACTGGCCGTTCAGCCATTCAGTTGAGTTGAATGGCTGGCAATGAACCTGACACTAATAGGACTTCTTCCACCGCTTTCTGTTGGCTCCCCTGGGAGCGCCGGCCACGAAAGCGGACACAAGAAGGAGCTTCAGTTGAGCTCGGCCAGACAAGTCAATCGACTTTGCAAAAATGCGGACATACGCTTTCCAACCAACAGATCCGTCACTGACAATCGATTATCGACGCTCTGAGATTTTTATGCTCGTTCAGAAAGTGATAGGAGTATATTGGTTTTAAGGCAATGTTCAAATTATTCTCTGTCTACTCTGGATTAAGTTGGAAAATGTGAGACTCCATATAGAACATATATAAATTTATATTATCTTTCCTTAGACTATGAATGAGTATACTGCAGTCGTGTAGGCCCGACTGAAATACTTTTTCATATTAGATTCATCAGAAGAATTATCAAAGGAATGCGAAAATGGATTGAAATCTGTATCAATTATCATTCAGGTATTCCGTTATCATCTTTAAACACTTTACACTGCCCCAGATCCGATTAACTATATGAAACCAAAAACGAACTATATATATTACTAAGCCGGATCATATTTGGTAACAATTTAAAATCGAAAGCGAAAAGTGGCCAACTCAAGCCGTGCCGAGAGGCGACAGTTGACAGCTGACAGTTGACAGAGTTGAGAGTCACGAGTCGCTTCCACTCTCTGCTCTATCCGAAGTGAGAGCGTGACAATGTCGAAAAGCAATTTTAAGCAAATTACATTAAAGCGTTTATATTCGATTGATACGCTGCGAGCAGCAATCAAGAATAACAACATTAATAAACAACGAATCACGAAAAAATTAAAAATCAATATTTTCTCATCTTCTCGTTTACTGTGACAAATTGCAATTTGATTTGGGAATCGATTATAGGAACATAAATCCATCTTGTTAGTTTGTAATTGCTCGAACTGGTCCTAAATGCTTCTAGGGGAACTCAACTAACCTTAAAATATCTGTATCAATAATGGTAATACTCATAAATGAGTTGAAAGGAGTATATTAGTTTTATGGAATGAATATGTTCCAATATATAGCTAGACTTATTTAGTTTTGAGTCCATATAACATGTTGAAGTTACATCATTATATTATCTGACTAGATAATTTGTTTATTTAGGGAGCTTTACAGAAACTATGTATACGCCAAACTATTTTTACAGGGTATACAGAAAATCAAACGGTAGCCGTGTGATAGCCACGATGTCTGCCTTGGCTGACAATCACAATCAATATTAGATTCCATGACTCAGACAGCTGTCGTACGCCTTTACCTTATCAATAATATATATATAGTCCAAGTCCATAGTAATAGAAATTAATCTTCCTAGTTTTCGGTGCTTGTTAATTAGCTTGTCAACAAACAAAGAGCTATTGAGAGTCTAATCAGTGCTAAAAATCATTCTCTATGCAACGAAGCTGTGCAAAGCGTGAATCTTCGCTTGCAATTAAAATAATTATACAATTAAATTAAGTCGTAATTGTTAGAGATATAATATAAAGAGAGAGAGAGCAGCAGAGAAAGGGGTAGATTCAGTTGAATGAAACATGATTTTTTCTCAGTGTAAGCATATAAATTGCCTTTAAGTCTTTGTGGATGCTGGCGAACGTGCCAAATGCAGTGCAGCGGAGGAGTTATAGATGGAGGGATGGAGGATGGCGAGTGCAAAGTTGAGTCAACCTTAAGCACACACACACATACACACACTTCACACTTTACGCTATTCGTCCGCTGCGTTTTACTGTACTTTGCCGAAGCTGCACTAAACTTAAAAAACGCACGAAGTGCATGCAAAAAATGCAAAGCGAAGCCAAGCCAAGAAGAAACAACCCTTAGAAATGCAAAAGTTAAGACGGGATGCACAGCATGACAAAGAAAAGAAAACAGAGAAAGGAAAACAACAAGCAAATGTTGAAAAATCGAACAACGTAGCAACTACAATGGTAGTAAGGTAGACAAAGTTTAACAGCAACACAATGCCCTCCCATCTAGCACCGCCCACAGCCCACCGCCCACCGCAGAGCGCCCCCTTGCGGGATTCCGAATCCACTCATGCCCAACCATGCGCAACGGAATGTCATGAGCAACGTTTTTTGTCATTATATAACCGGCGAAGCGCTCCAGGCGAGTCTACTCCAGCTACAAACCTTCTCTCCTGCACAGCCTCTCGCTCTCTCACTGTCTCTCTCTCTCTCTCTCTCTCTCTCTCTCTGTCTTTGTCTCTTGGTTCTGTTTGTCGCTCTCTCTCTCTCTCTCTCTCTTTCTCTCGCTCTGTTTGTTGCATTTAATATATGAAATTCAATAAAGCAAACGCTCTGTGTGAACTTCCCGGAACATTGCCTAGGCTCACATCCAGACACGCACTTTGCACCCTTTTGAACTGATAAATTTGCACACATCAGTTGGCCAACTGCCAAATGGGGCTAATAAATGAAAGCAAGGCAATCGAACGCACACCTCACAATTAACTGGTCAACCGAATCTAATATAGGCAATTTTCAACAATTTTTGGGTTAAAGCCATTAAATATGAAAAAGGGTTTGCCGCCCCAAATTCTGAGGCTTTTCCTGTCCTGTCCTGAATTAGCTTAGGTAGTCTAATAAATTAAATGATTATCGATTGGCTGGGTGAGTATATGCATTGTGTCCTCTAACATAATTTGTATTTATTAATCTATTTATAATTTTGAGGGAGACAGATTGGGTCAGCCCACCTTAAATTAGGTGTTTATTCTATTTTAACTTAAAATATATGAGTATCAATTTGTGTTTTTTTATTTATTTATTTATTTATTTT